ACTCATATAAAAAACCTTTTTGCTCTTATGTCTTTAAACTTGCATACTTTACTATCAAATGTAAACACACAATTAGCAATACCATGTAACAAATACGGTAAGCTTTAGTCCTTCTTAATCGCCTCTCTCGATAATTACGATCATTAGTATTGTAATTAATGCTAACCGTCCTCATAGATTAGGATGTAGGTACTTACCTTTAATTACATATACCGCTTGATTTTAATCTTCATTAATTATGAATATAAACTTTATGAATTGTGAATTTAATTTTGATGTATAAATATTTGCTTAGTGACTTTCAGCCTCCCGAAAGAGCTGGTTTCTGAAAAGTATATTCTACTATATATATATACTCATTGGGAAATTGTACAGAACACCTATGGGAACAATCTGCTACTTTATATTTCTATGTGGACTATACGAACGCCTTTGATTACGGCCAAATTTGTACGGTGCACAGGAACTATTACTAATTTTTATGATCTTATTAGAATAATTACACTGATTGAGATATTTAAAAAAAAATATCATTCACACAAAGCATCTTACAATTAAAATCTTATTTGGTATATTCATAATTATGTATCTCGCGTGTATTATGTCATCACTAAATAAAAGAGAAGTGTCATCTTTGAATGTAACAATCTTCCCGTTTTTAAGTTTTAACTGTTTTAACTTTTAAGAGCGACTTACGCAAAGTCATGAAACTTAAAACACGTGAATGCAAACGTTATTTTCTTTATTAATGCTTCATATCCTATAAGTTTACCTTTTATGTTCTTTATTTATTTTTTATTCGCGTTTATTCAGTGTTTAATTATAAGCAACACATATTGCTACAATGTAAGTAATAATAATCAAGCGTAATCACATTAATCACATCAGTGATTCGAAAACGTGCTCCAATAAATTATCGTTTTGCATAATTCGATATGAAAATTTTAAATTCTCATATGTCTATCAATGACAATAAAAAACTTCATACAAAAATTATAGTTTCAAATGATTTGACAATTGCTTTCTGGGATTCCTTGGGGGTGGCCTATTTTCAGCAGTGTACTTGTGAAGGGCTGTGATCATGATGATGGTGATGATAACATTTTTAAATAGTTAAGGATGTCACTAGAAGTATTTTAGAAACTACAAACAAATAGTGCAATAGTGCTGGTATTTTCTTTTTTTTTTTTTTTCTTAATATTCTCTATCCCTGCCTATGATTCGTCGCATTTGAAGAAACCACGAATGGAAACCGTGAAAACAGCCTGTATTCTCTAAGGAGTCTCTTTCACGACCTTTTTTTTGAATTTATTTATTCATACAAAGGTAAGTACATTATTTTTACTATTCTCTCGCCAAACTGCAATCAGTTTGTCGGCGAGTACACGCTCTTAAAACTATATATTATTATGCACTATCACCTATACAAATACATTTAATTATAATAAACAAAAGAAAATAAAAGATAGTTATATCAAAGTTAACTACTACAATTTCATAATATTTAGAAATTATAAAACTAAAAAATAATAATAATAATGAAAAAAAAATACAACACAAACAATAAGCAAATCAATTAAATATAAAAAGCGATTAATAAAAGTATGCAACAATATGTAATGTGTTATAGCTCTGTTAATAATGTACTATTCAGAGAGGATTTTAATAAGTTTTTGCTTAATTTATTTTTATTTTTATTTTTATTTGGAGGCGTTTCTCTTAACCATTTTATTTTGTTAAAGATTCTGGGTACAATGTATTTATTCAAGCGTTGTCCGTAATAGTTATTTGCACTAGGCTCTTCAAGTTTTTTTTCCCCTTACCTTACGCGTGTTGTAAGTGTTAATAATTGGTACTTTATAGTCGTCAGTATAGTAATGTTCAATTGCTATTAAATATTTTAGCCGTGTTTCAACAGGGAGTATTTTACACATGGGAAATAATTTTTCATATTGTTTTTTACAACTCTTCTTATCTTTTGAATTAATAAAAAAATTTATAATACGTATTTGTAGGCTTTTCACTTGTTTTATATAGGTACTAAATGTACGGCCATACACAATAAGACCATAGTTAATTAACTCAACTAATGCATAGTAAACCACTAATAGAACAAGTTTACTTACTACTTTTCGAATTTGATAGAATTTACCTAAAATGGACCTTAATTTTGAAGATACTTCTTCAATGTGTAATTTCCAATTAAAACTGCTATCTACCAACAATCCTAAATATTTGTAACTATTAACAAACTCTATTTTGGCACATTGACATGGTAATTTTCTCCTATGCAAGCACTCATAGTCATGCTCTACAATACTGTAGAGCATGACTATGAGTATACATACTGTGTACTAGAGAATACATACTGTTGTATGGAGAATGTATATGCATACACTTTGTTTTTTTCAAATTCAGTATTATGCCGTTATCATGTGCCCATTGGGTAATCCGATCAAAGTCTTCATGTATTTTATCACAAGCTTCATCTAAGTTTTTGAAAGCATACAATAGGCACATTTCATCGGCGTACATGTAGGTATCGCAGTGATGCACTACATTTACCACACTATTCACCAGTATAATGTACCCTACGGGGCCGTACACAGAACCGGTTGGTACACCGAGAGCGATATCTTCTTCAGCGCCAGTCGTCCCACTCACCATAGTGCGAATAGTCCGATTTGATAGATAATTACGGAACCATTCATTTACAGGGCCCCGAATTCCACATTCCTCCATAGTCCCCAGAAGTACCTCATGGTCCAGAGTATCAAATGCCTTCTTATAGTCTATGAAAAGAGCCACAACCTGTTTACCATTATTAAGACTGCAGTGAATTGCTTCCGAAAACTTAGTTAACGCAGTATACGCTTATTCCTAAATGAAGTGTACTCTAACCTTTTGGTCATATTGTTAGGCGATGCTTTCCACTCCCGAAATAGTATATCATGCTTTAATAATTTATCATATAGTTCTTTATTGACCCATGGTTGACTAATTCTTTTATTCTTTAAAGTTATTTTAATTTTACTTTCTTAGAGAATGTAGAACATATTGATTCATATAACAATATTGGGCATAATATAGACAAAAATTGTGACCAGTCCGTTAATCTCAATTTTTCTTTAACTAACTTATTATCTATTACGAATTTGTATTTACATACTTCATTATAATTATTGCACACTGTATGCTTACGGTCAATATCAAGGGTAATACCTACTGCACTGTGATCTGAGATGTTGCACTCGAGTATAAATGAAGCCGTCGGCCCGCAACCGGAGCGCGTCGTCCGTACCCATACATGGTCGATGCAGCTCTGGTCGAGTCGGCCGTCGACGATCGCCTCGCGCGTTATCTCCCTCGCAGGTATAGCACACATGAGGCCGTTTTCACACAGGGTGCATTTATAACGGTTAATTTTCGGGTTTATTATATTTCTTGAGATATCTATATTTGTGTCTCCGATTATAATAAGATCATCCTGTGACGGTATATTCCTTATTAATGTTCCTAGTTGATCTATAAATTGATTTTGTTTATACTCGGTGGTCGGTAATATGCTATAAGATGTAAAGTTCTTGTTGTCGTAATTATTCGTCCATATATAGTACAGCGCTGGGCTGTTGTGTTTCCTACTTCCATTTCAATATTTAGTCCTTCCTTCCAGTAGATAAGTATTCCTCCTCCTCTTTTCACTTCTCTGGTACTCGCATAGCTATTATATCCTTGAATCTTATAAAAGGGTAATTCTTCATTCTTTATGTTTACTTCTGTTAATATTATAATATTTATAGAGCATAAAGTTTGTTGTAATAGTACTGTTAACTCATTAAAATGTTTTCTTAGAGACCTAATATTTAGGTATAAAATATGTATTTTATTATAGTTTGTGTCCCATTGTTTACTCCAAGTAATAATATTTTTAAATCTATTAAATTGTATATCTGTGATGCTTTCATTAAAATTTTCGAATTTTAAGGTTAACAAAAACCAGGCAGTAACTCAATCTTTGGATAATAGGAATAAAAATAGAAATCTTCGGACGGTCCGTCGGGATTGTATGATGGATGGCTTCAGATCAACACTTGTACTGTGGTTAATTGTCGCTCATCGGAACCATATGGTGATGGTGAAAGTATGTCCACTACCCCATATCATCCTGAGAGTTTCGTATGAGGCGACAGAGTAAAAAAAAACCAGAACGATTTCACAACAACTGGCAAGCAAGCAGTCTGCAGTTATTTTTAGCATATTAACAGTATACCTGTCGCATTATGAGGAGTCTTTCAAAAGAATTAGACAAACATCCTTCTTATAAACTTTGTGCAGTTATAATAAACAGTTATTTTTGAATGTGTCACATAAATCATTCGAATCACCTACGCCGTATTTTGCTATGAGTGTATTTCGTGGCAATAATAAATTTGACAACGTTTTAGGTCATCGTTCAAATTTGAATGTTTAAACTCGAATGTCTTAGCTTATGGAAATCTAATGGTTGGCTACTGTTTTATCAGCTCATGACATGCGCCGTTCAATACAAAAATAGTAGCCTCTAAAGAATGTCCCTTTTGCAAATCATAATAAATATTACTATTTCTAAGTTTAATTAATTATAAACGAACCTTTAACCCAGATGTTACTGTAACTATTTTTTGTTTTCGATCTTGGTGATATTCGGATATGATAGTTAAAATGACTCATAATAACGAGGAAAAATAGTAAAAAAAATTACATGTTTTCAGAAAAGCCGGAAAAGGGTGGGCTTTTAAAAGTCCCGTCGTAATATGGGGATTGTTTACATGTATGTGGCGGTCTAATAATAAAACAAACTGTTATTACGAGTATATTAGTTTTTTATTATTACGGTAAATTTTAACTATACAAAAGAAAATAGACATAGGTATAGCAAGTTATGTGATATGATGTCTCACAATAAAACAACAGCACTTCACTAAGTATATCACATTAAAAGTCAGTAAAGTTCACTAACTTTACTGAGTTTTAGTGTGATATTCAAGGAAACAGTTCTTAGGATGTAAATGAATCTTACACTTTTGGCAAATAAAAAAACTTTTAACTTTGCAAACTTTGCATCTTAGTTGGGGAGCGCTGTACTGGACCAAGTGATCAACCCCATCATATCGAGATGATTCAAGATGAGATCTACCTGTGGGACATGGTCCCCTCTTATCGCTTTTTTTGTAGCTTTCGAGCAAACCTTTCGCCAGTAGTCTACAAAAAGTGAGATGATCATGTTCTCCACCGTCTCGCTTGTAAAGTTGCCATGCATTATGCACAGCCATATCTAAGGTGTGACAAAACAGTGAAAAATACCATTTCTTGCCACGAATAGAAGTCCGATACAACCCTATGTTTTGATCGGATCTATCGACCCCTCCCATATTTTCATTGTATTTTCTTATAACCGACGGTTGGTCAATATGTACAAATCTTTTTAGTTCTTGCGAAAATCTCTTGACTTTTTGCAGGGGCTCCACAGTTTCAGTATTCGATGCAACAGTAACGACACTATTGTCATTCCACTTGCAAACCAAAATATTGGTAGGCAAACTGGATTTGAATACAAATGAACCTCTATCAGTATTTTTGAAATCTTTGTTAGACTCGAGAGGACACTTGGACGTTCTGTTTTCACGAATAGTTCCAGTGGCTCTTAGACCTCTATTACTAAGTTCATGCAGTAGAGGAATAGAGGAAAAATAATTGTCGAAGAATAAATGAAATGGCAATGTTGGGTCACGACCTTGTAGAACATCAGCAAACTCCAAAATCACACTCCCACCTAGACCAAACTGTTTGTAACCTTCTGCAATGGTTGAAGATTTTCCCTGGTAAGGATCAAACCAAATCACGTAGCCTAATCTTGTAGCACCAACCCACAGTTTATACTCCCAACGAATTGGTTTGCCACGTATAAACTGTTTGCAACTGTGACGTCCATAGTATGGAACCATAGCCTCATCTATGCTGTAGTTCTCTTCTAGCGGAGCCATTTCAGTAAAGATTTTATTTAACTCGTCAAACAGAGGTCTCAACTTAGCGAATTTGTCAGGAGAATCACCAAGAACTGTATTATCACAGCAGTGGAGATTTGACATAATAAAAGTAAAACGATCTCTTGACATAGCGTTGTGCACAATCCTAAAGTCGGCATCTGTCGATGTCTCCCAATACATAAACCTACGGGGTACTACTACATACCCGCTGTACATAAGGATGCCCAAGAAACACTTCATTTCAGAAACAGTTACTTTGCCCACTTTATTCCTCTGTCCTGCATACAAATTGGTATATCGCACTAGTAATTCAATAACATTGTTGTTGAACAAGCAGTCGAAATAATATAAGGGTGATTGTAAGTTTTTTGGACCTTGTTTGTCATTCCATTGATTGAAATGGTTTGGAATATGACGATTCTTCCATCTATAGGTTTGGTTTCGGGGAACTGTAGGCTGAACAAATGTAGAATTAGTTGACACATCTGAAGTACAAGATACGGCGTCACTATCCTCTAAAGTCAAATCCATCGTGCGTCTTCTTTTTGACAAACTTGACAAAGGTACATCATCTTCTTCGTCGGAACTCATATGAAAAGTGACCTCGGCTGGAGCTCGTAGTTGAGAGCCTATAAAAAACATATATAAATATTGCAACCATATAAATAAAACAAGATAGAATCATTGATACGTAGTTATATCAACCCGAAAACAAATAATTTACCTGGTAGATTTTGCAATGCAACAAATTCTTCATCTCCAGAATCCTCATCTGTGATGTCGGCATTAGCGTTCTCAGGTGGAAAAATTGTAATTTGAGTTGGCAACAAATCATCATCCTCACATCGCTCTAATTCATCAACTATATCGTTGAGAGTGAGTGCTCTCAAAGGTCGCGTGCTAAAAAGAAAACAATAATATTATAGACCCCCATATTGCGACGGGACTTTTAAAAGGCCATCAATTTGAAACGTGAAAAAGGAATGAGTTTTTGTTGCACCAAAACAAATAGATAACCTGATATTGTAGATAATATATCTAAAATTAAATATCAAAATGTATTAGCAACAACATTCAGATATATAAATGATAAAAGCTTACCTTTGTCCAGACATCATGACACTAATACTCCTAAGTCTTCAATGACACAAAAACTTTAAATAAACAAGTGTCCAGTTGTAAACAACACCGCATGAAATCATACACGGATAGGTACTAAGTAACCTGACAGTGCAAATATCTTAGAGAATTCATTTTAACAACTCGAAACTTGAGGGTATTTTTAATAATTTTTTCGGGTCTTTTAAAAGCTCCGTCGCAGTATCTGGGTTAAAGATATGGATGCTAGTTGGCACATTCTATAAAAATCAAAAACCAATATTATTACTATTAACTACCTGAATATGTTTTGTGGGAAAGAAAAAAAGAAGAAAATCCTCGCAACGGTAAATCTGCCACGCAACCATTCTCTCTGGAATCTGGACTCTGTATATTTCAATGGATATTGACCGACTTCACACAACCCAAAATATTTTTTATTTCTTGGACATTGTGTTTCTCATCCTTACGATATTTTTATCATAGTGGGAAGTCATCAATTTAAATTACAAATTATAATTTCAATGGTACAGCTCTAGAGTGAGAATGAATATGCCAAGTCTTGAAAGGCATAATTTACGAGTGTGGTACAACCTCCTAAATAACGGACCAAGGCCTGCCGATCGACTGATGGCCAAGTAGCGCAATATTAGAAAGAGCTATTCCCTCACTTTCACAGTTCGATAGGACGATAATCCGACATGACCGGTGAGAGATCAGGTGCAGGACCAACGACTTTACGTAATTTCCAAAGCACGAAGACAACAGACAAAAAACCAAACAGTAAACTCAAGAACTGTTTTTTGGTCCGACCAGAATTAGAACCCGGCACCTCATAATCAGAAGTTGCAATTATAACCACTAGATCAACGAGGCAGTCAAAGAATTCACACATACATATATTATAAGAACACGTAAGAATAAGTAACATAAATTTTATGCGGTGGAGATGTTTATAAATGTATGCGCTGTTGCTCCAACTTTCATTGCCTTAGAAAGCCGTAAATATTTGAAACTGTTACCTTCTAAAGTTTTATTTTATGTATGTTCTTCTAAAATCCTTCCTTTTCGAAAAAAGTTATGGACTAATTGTTCGTTGATATTGATTCCTCAATTCGCCCTGAAAGTGTTAATATAAGGTGACTATGGGACACACCAAAGAATACTTATGGCCTGCAATATGGCAGTATAGCCGTCTCTTATGTTAGACGTGAAATACTCAAATCGGCGACGGCAAGTAGCGTGAAATATGCAAAACGTCTGGAGTAGCGTTCGTCGATTCGCTTACAAAGTCCAAATTCAACAATGGGCACATGTCCAAGAAAATTTTACGCTCTCAAAGAATACCAGCGTTAAATAACAGCCCAATTTTGCTGTGTTTCGTATGGAATACCATCCCTGGAACTTACCGCTTAGAAAATTAAAAATTAAAATTAACTTTTTAATTTTTGTTTCTTTTTATGGTTTTTATTTTATAAAGATCTTTGAAACGGCTCGAAAATCTAATCAGCTCGAAGTCTCAATGAACACTTCGAAACCGTCGCCCATCTCGATCGGTTGACTCGTAGTAAAGACATCGTACGACAATATTTGATTTACATACATATATACATACATACATACATACAAACATACAGACATACAGACACACACACACGCGCGCGCGCGCGGCCGGACGTTCAACCGCTTATAGCCGGAACGGCTTCTCAAAACCTCAAAATGTGGAGTTTTGATGAAAGCTCGCATTGTAAAAATCGAAACGAAATCTGTAACTTCCTACTTTTGAAAATTATTACTTTTCAAAGTGGAAAGTTGAAAAAAGCCGGAGGGATGATGAAAAGAAAAAGAATAATGGAATGAAAATTAATTAAAAGTGAACATTACTGAACATGTTATATTCTTTGTGTATAGAAATAGCGTGCATTTGTTTTCTTATTTTGCATAGGTGTCCTCGCACTCTGAGAGGATTACGGAGCAAGGAAAATTAGAATTTTTAATAAAAGTAAAAGCCGATTTCAAAGCGAAGGCTTTGAAGAGAGTATGTGTATGGAGCATAATGTATTTAAGACTTTGAAAGCTATTGTGTGAAAATTTGTAATAAAAAATTATTTTATTATTTTTAATTATTCCAATTCTGCTTTTACTTTTTTTAATAGGATAAGGGTGACAAAAGAGCACACATTTCACCTGATGGTAAGTGGATGCTGTGGCCCATAGACATCTACATCTATCCTCGATTAAGGATCAAAATGCAGATGCATTTGCCACCCGTGAGGATTAAGGTTGACTGCCTCGTTTCCAGTAAAAAGGGTCTCCGGTTCTCTATACTCACCACACGAAACACAGCAGTGTTAAGCTGCTATTTTACACCAGTATTGTGTTAGAGCGTGGTCTTTCCTCGGATGAACCGACCCATTCGTGCTACAATGTAGCTGCAGCATGGCTCTACCACGTTAAAAGTTTACGTTACATTTTAGTCTAAGTTTTTTGAGTGAACTAAGCAATATCACAAGCTCGATTGTCGTTAACATACTTACATTAAAAATTACCAATAAAAATATTGAACGAAATTTTTAATTTGGTGGGTCAAATGTGTACTGGAAAAAATTATAATCTGTCTAACAAAAAAGTTATTATTTAAATCGGTATAAAATTGATGAAGATATTGCGTAATACATATGTATAGATTATAGAATGAAACCACGATTTCACGAGTAAATTAAAGGCGTTTGCAGAACCGTGCCGCGTGCTACGAGTGTATGTGCGCAACTGCCCGAGGAAGGAATGATCTCCGATAATGTACTTGTAGGTGCAGCGGTTGTTCGAGAGCGCTTACTTAATTTATTTCTAACATGACGGTACACAAGAATCAAACAATATACATAATATATAAATAGCATAAGAAAACAAATTGTCACATAATAAATAACTATTTTATAATGCGTCGCTTACAATATGCTCAAAATAGATACAAAAGGAACATACTGTCGGATTGATAACCTCCTACTTTTATATAATCGGTTAAAAAGCGCCTTTGCGGTTGGCTAATACCGAATATGTCCTCGAAATATTTTCAATATTTCAGACATGTAACCTACATGTCTGAAATAACATTCTTACAATGTTTGCCTTCCTCGCAGAGCACGTGATAAATTAGAATTTCAAATAATTACAGTTGTGGCGACGAGATTCGTACTGCTACGCGTTGCTCGCGTACCTTTCTATTTATTTACATCTGTTTTTAAATATCGAACATATTCGTCATCGTTACAACATACAATGCTGTGCCAATAAACTGTTCAAGTGGCAAGTAGTAACAGTTAATATTACAGCCATTCAGAAGTCCACTGCTGAACGTGGGCCTCGCCCAAGGAATGCCACAAAACACGATGCTGCGCCACCTGCACCCATCAATTTATTATATCCCTTACCAGGTCGTCACCCCATCTAGCGGGGGCTCCCCCTACATTTTGCTTACTGGTAGTACGAGGCTGCCTTCTGACTATCTTTATTTTCCATCGGTTTTCGGTTCTTCGAACTATAAGGCCAGCCCATTACCAGTTCAGCACATCTTCTCGTCACTTTTACCTCAGAATTTGAAAAAAAGATTGTACAATCAGTGCGTGTTGCGAGATACTGTATTGCTGGCCATATGAGAAAGCTCAAGTTCGCACAGCGAGCTATGGAAAGGACTATGCTCGAAGTTTCTCAGGGTGATTCAAATGAGGATATTTGCAGTAGAACCAGATATAGCCCAACGCATCAGTAAGCAGAGAGGTTACATAATATTTTTTTAAACATAGAATCATGCTTCTTTTTTATATCTCTTGAATTTTAAGTAAAATTATTATTCAATTTAATTTTCTAGAAAATAGCTAACTATAATAAACTCTAAAACTTTTATTTGAAGTTAAACGAAATTTTATCTTAAAAAAATTATAGTAATTTGTAGAATAAACTTTGAAACTTGCCGTAAAAATTGCATAAGTTCCTAATTTCACATAAACAGCACCATGTTCTACAATTGTACACGCCCCTAGTTGCCCCAACAAAGGTCGACTGTCCCGGGGTCCATAGCGGAACACCTAGACGAGCAACCAAGGGCGGGGCCCAAATGGCCCATGGATAAACGTTATAAATAAGTTACAAAAAACGGCTGACAAATAAGCAAGCACTTACCTGTCTCCGGAGTCAAGGTTGACCAAAGGGTACCTGTCAGGTGATAAGTGATGTGCTTGTAAAGTGTGTGTGTGTAGTAGTGTGTACCAGTGTGACCTGACTTGACCGTTGAAGTCTGACCGCCGATCCCCAGGCACTACTCTCTCCAAAGTGAGATCTCTCAAGGGCGGCGATCACCAATTGAAACTTCTGTCTTCATTTCACTATTTCAGTCTATCACTTTTATTGTACAATTAATCAACTTCAAACTCAACCAAATTCCCGTTAATCGTGATCAAACACGTGACACACGGCACAAGTAACAAACCGTCGTTCAAAGTTCAATATTCAAGGTTCCGGGTTCACGTAGCACAAATTTACAAACACGGGAACGAACGCGGCCTCTTCTCGAGTCTCAAAGTTCAGCGTTCCCCACGACAAGCTTAAATTCTTTCGTACGATATTAAAATACTACGCCCGCGATAAAAACTCAAAATCAGCCTCGCTGACATGCAAAATTAACTAAATAGTCAGCACACAAAAAGGCACTTAATGCGACGTTACAATTAAACATTAACTTCCAAAAACAATTAACCGAGCCACGCCCTTGAAATGGAATGCGAGCATCAAATTCCAGACCCTCTGTCTACTCGGCTTACGCGCAAGGTTCCACGTCACACAAGCAAGTTAAATAATGCAAAATGCACTTTAAAACGAAATCACTATACAAATTGACGTAAATTACTTGCAAACGAAGTTACTTTAATCACTCAAATTCAATACAAGCCTCTTGTCACGGAACGTACAACTTACACAAACAAATTCGAGGCGGTCTACACGAAACCCAAATTTTCAATAG